GTAGTAGTAGTAGTAGTAGTAGTAGTAGTAGTAGTAGTAGTAGTAGTAGTCACAACAAGTTTAAACAAGCACAAAGAAAAGGCCAGGGACACAGGATCAAATCAATAGGGGTAGTAATGCAGATTATTGATGGGGGACCGGCTCTTGTGAGGGGTACCCTTTGTGAGCTTGTCAAATGATTGTTTTTAATTGTTGTTTTAATAAGGCCATTTATAGGCCCTGAGCCCTAGACATTGTTAAGGATTTCATCAAAGGTAGTAGGTGGTGATGGTTGTGGTGGTGGTCGTGGTAGTAGCAGTAGCAGTAGCAGTAGCAGTAGCAGTAGCAGAGCAGCAGCAGCAGCAGCAGTAGCATTAGCGGTAGCGGTAGCGGTAGTAGTAGTAGTAGTAGTAGTCGTCGTAGTCGTGGTGGTGGTGGTGGTGGTAGTCGTCGTCGTCGTAGTAGTAGTAGTACGAAAAACTGACCTGGTTGTGGGCTCGGATTAACTGGGGGGGATTGTTGGTAGAAAACTAGACCATAGGGGGGGGAAATCAACAGCCAATAATACTTTTAATTTGGGCAATTTCCGGCGGCTTTGTGGGCTCGGATTAACTTGGGGGGATTTATTAATCCTGACTTGGCATTAACCAGGTATGTGACATGAAGGCTTCATGAAGGTTATGATATTTGCTACATGCCAGGATATATTTGCATAGTCAAGCGCCTCATACAAACCACCAATCTATGGGTGTGTATGGCGTTGGCCAAACGAGTATTTTTTTGGATGGGGGCTGTTTGCTAACTTTCTTGCGATATTTCGGCCAAGAAGCAGGTAGAAAAGCAACACTGCTTCTAAACAACACTGCTGACCATGAATCACGGTCGTGCAATGCCATTGCAGCACAAATCTGCGTGTACAACATCATTGAAGTGAGGGCGATTCCATTGAAATGTTGTTTTTTCCCACTGATCTTTTGTTTGCTTTGGCTGTCATTGTTGTAAATTGTTACGTTGCTATCAGGGAAGGTCTGGATTGCAGGCAGGCGTTGGCGGGCTGGAAGGTCTTGTTGGTCCGACTGAGGAAAGTGTGGGGATCATATCCCATGGCTTCGTTTACATGACCGCCATGATGGAACTGAACGAGACGTCTCTCGGAGACCGGATGAAGAAGCGTAACCGTTCGCTTGCAAGTGGCCAAATCCGGCGTTTGGCGGGTCAAAAGCCAGGACCAGAGCTATCCGCTATCTTTCTGGGGTTGCTCATGGATTTGCCCTAGTTTCGGCAGCGATTTGTCCATTACTGTTGGGTTTGGATCTGTGCAGATCCTCACCAGCATGGCAATTCACTTATGTGGGAGAACATTGCTGCTCATAGGAATTCACGGAGGGAACGAGGTGCTTGGCCTCATGCACACTGCAGGAGTGTGCAGAACAAACTTCAGAGGACTTGCCTCAAAACAGTGTGTGAGTGTTTGGACTGCACTCTCACTGGATGTTACCACTAGATGTTCCGAACGATTCTGACTTGATGTTACCACTGCTGTTTCTGCATCTTCCCACATTGGAATTCATGGCTGTTCTCCGGTCTCGACACTCGTTCTTCAAGGTTGATCCTTATATATCCTGCGGGAGAATTCTCTCTCGATATCCTGCGTCAACAAGCACCACCTTCAATCGGCTTTTTGAGAATCCTATGTCCAGATGTGTGGCTCTCAGACCACATGACCTCCGTTCTCTTCTCTTTTTGTGGGGAAGTGAACCTACTGAATTGTCCACCAGAGGCTCCATATGGCTACCATGGATCCGGTGTACCTACGACCCCTACCATCAACCCCTGACCAGTCCTCGCCAGTCCCACCAGTCCGGGTCTCGCTTCGAAGGCTCGAGAAGACCATGCTCCAAGAGACCTGGGACGTGCGCGACATCGCTTTTGCGGCGGGTGCGAATCTCTCCGATCTCGCCGCTTGGGAGCAGAACTCATCGGTGGAGAGTGGGCATGCCGGCATGACATGCGGAGTGAGTGTGGTCGCTGTTTTTTGGTTTTTTTGGGGGGTGCGACGAGGGACGATGAAATTGCATCAGCTGGCCCACAAGGATTATAGGTTTTGATAGTACGGGCTTGATGTGTTTCATGTTTGATATCAACTTTTAAGACAAGTATGTACAAGGACCCCCCCAGAAAGTGTTTAAAGGCCAAAAACACTCCCCCTTTCGTGAGTCCTGGTGTGTTTCACTTTTCCCTTTGGACCAAGACTTTTCAGGCGCCAAGCACGCGTCAGGCCTTCGCCCGTGGCCGATCGCCAGGTGGATTGCCTCGTGAATGCGCCCAAAGGTCAGGGCGAGACGGTGAGAGCGGCGCTGATGTTGCCCGGCGAGAGGGTGAATTCGTGGCGAGTGGAGGTGTTTCTAGACTTGGGCTTCCAGGAACCCTTATAATAAGGCAACTTAACCATTACATATATCAGGACAATGATATGTATACTGTATACAAATATTTATTCTACTACACCTGAATCAAATAGATACCGTGTGTTTTCTTTTGATTCTTTTATTCCCGCATCGACCACGCGCCGCGCCCTTCGACCACGCGCCGCGTCTGTCCTGAGGTCTGTCCTACCAGCGTCGGTGCGTGCCTCGCCACCCGCCTTGACGGCTCGGGGAGCCCAGGCGGCGAAGGGTCACATCTCCTTGGGGGGCCGGCGAGGACCGGGAGTATAGCATGGGTAGATATGCCATGTGTGTGGCCATGTAGAATCATAATATAATATTAACGATATATATTGTATGAATGATATGTGCCCCCGAAACATCCTGAAAACATCTTATATATGGTGGGTAAAATATGCCATACATACACGGAGTGTTTGGGCTTATGTTTGGCAAGTCATGGAGGTTCGTGATTCATATCCCCCCGCCCATTAGGATTGTAAGACATCTTTGTATATGTGGAGAGGTTCTAGTCTACTTTGCCACTTCGTGCACGGTTTGCCGGGTGTTGGGGACTGTCCATTGGAAAGTGATGTTTGCCATTGAAAAGCAGTGGGGAAGGTTGTTGTGGAAGGTCCATTGCAAAGCTTTTGATGTGTTGTGTGCTTTGTGTTGAAAGCCGCAGAGATGTCCACAGATGGTTCTGTTTTGTGTTGTTTCTTCGTTCCCGCAGTGCGCGGAGAGTGGAATGCCTTTGGGAGAGGAAGCCCTGCCAATTCATGCTTCATATAGGTTGCTTGTGTGTGTGTGTGTGTCAACCCCTGGACCAAGGGTTCACCTCTACTGACTTTCTACTTTCCCCCCCGTTTTCCACCCTGAAAGAAATCTCCACCAGCAGGGGCGTCAGGCTCGACACACCTACCTGACGCAACGAAGCTATGGTGTGTCGAGGGAAGCAGTCAGAGACGTCTGACTGTGTACCTGCACAACTTTTGAACAAGCTGTCACCCTACTTTTCCACTTTTTGATTCATGGTTCTTCATGCTTCCACCCCCCAAAACAGGTTTCTCAGCCACTTTCAGCAGCCGCGCGTTTTTGCAGCTTGTCGCCGCAGTTGTGCAAAACCCACTCGTTAAAACATCTTCAATTGATCGGACTCCTCACCTTACCGTTGAGCCATTCCTTTCCTCGGGGAACTGAGCTAACTGAATACAATTGTCGAAGTGTGTTTCGCTCAGCCGTCCCACTCGGGTGCTGAGTGTGATCCCCGTCATTGGGGCGCTGTCTCATCGTGCACTTTTCACAGGAATTCCACCGGAAGTCACCGACACAACCATTGAATTAACTGCCACAAAGGCTGCCGAGCCTCACCACGGGAACTGTTTCTCCAACGGACTCTGTAGCGATCTGCAGTTTTTGCATTCTTGACATGACTTTTCCGCATGAAGAACTCAAGCTAGCAGACCTGAGCTTCCAGATTTAATTCGATTTGCATGAACACACCACTACATTACTTACTGCATTCCACATCAAGCCAACTTTGACAGCTCTACAACTGACAGTTTTGCAACACTTGCTGTTTTTTCGAGATGTTTTTTGAGATGTTTGACGGCTAAGTATTCACATGTGCATGTGCTGCTAAGTATTCACAGGCCGGATGAATTAATCGTGCATTTTCCCCTCCCTACCCCTGGGCCTCCGTTGCTACCCCACCCGCTACTCGGGAAACAGAAGGAAATCGCACTCAACACACTTGTGTGTTGGTGCCTTTCCTTCTGTTTCTCCTAGCCTATTGCTAGCTACCCGGGCGGTTTAAGACAAATGTCCCGCTCGCGCTCTACTTTCATTTAACTAAGTGGGCCTCGTAACTACCCCTATCTTTCTTTCTTGCCCTCTTAGTTTGCGTTTGTTTTGTTTGCTTTGTCTGTCTTTCTAAGGCTTTTTAGGTGGCTACTAGTTTTCCGCAGCGCCAATATTGGCGCTTTCTGTACAAAGTTCCACCTTCCACGTTTTACACACTTGCGCCGGAATCGGCTGTTTGTGTGTGTCAACCCCTGGACCAAGGGTTCACCTCTACTGACTTTCTACTTTCCCCCCCGTTTTCCACCCTGAAAGAAATCTCCACCAGCAGGGGCGTCAGGCTCGACACACCTACCTGACGCAACGAAGCTATGGTGTGTCGAGGGAAGCAGTCAGAGACGTCTGACTGTGTACCTGCACAACTTTTGAACAAGCTGTCACCCTACTTTTCCACTTTTTGATTCATGCTTCTTCATGCTTCCACCCCCAAAAACAGGTTTCTCAGCCACTTTCAGCAGCCGCGCGTTTTTGCAGCTTGTCGCCGCAGTTGTGCAAAACCCACTCGTTAAAACATCTTCAACTGATCGGACTCCTCACCTTACCGTTGAGCCATTCCTTTCCTCGGGGAACTGAGTTAGCTGAATACAATTGTCGAAGTGTGCACGTTCGTGCACATTTGTGCACGTTCTGATTTCTTAGTGTGTTGCTTTTGGTGTCCTGCATATTACTGTATATAGACAAGATCAGCACATATTAGCCTAATCAGTGGAAGCCCAGGTACAAGGTTGGTTTTTCGGGAGTGTGTTTTGGTCGAGTTCCACCTAGACAAGCCATTATATCATCATTGTGCCATATTGTGACCCCGTTGAATTTAGATATTCGAATTCCTTGTTTGGATAGCCCCATTTACAGCTGAACAGCATGTTTGGTGCCTGCATTTGATGAAATTCTCTCGACCATGCCTTTGGACAAAAAGACGTCTTTACAAACACAGATCTGATCCTGCCCAAGCCAGTCCAGTCTTTCACTTGCTCGATGCGGTCGTTTTTGTAGTTTATGTCTAGGCCACCAGAAACGCAAACATCATTCCGGACAGCGTTTGTCTACACCCGAAGATCATGGATGCAACGGCGAAAGGCCCCCTCGCACTCCGGTGGAACGAGGTCGTTGAAATGCCTGGCGAGTATCAGGAGCTTGACAGATGGGCAGGGGGTGGCCAGTCTCAGACCCTTCTAGCAACAGGACAACTAGACGAAAAGTAGATGAAGAATGAAGACTCTAAAGCCAATTGATGGGATCCTGAATGGTCCCCCTTTGTGAGACACATCCACAGTGGACAAAGAGCTTGGGCAAATCAATAAACACTGCGGAGGCTTTCGTCAAATGAACGTGTGCAAAGGGTGCAAGTCCAAGTTTTTTGACAACGTTCGGGTCCGTTATGCCGCTATGCCACTCAAAATTATCGACTAGTGGACTTGCCTCTAAGCCCTAAGCCTCTAAGCAGCATGCTGACATTGTGTTCTGCAGGGCGTCAAGAGAAAAGGCTTTGCTTTGTCCAAGTAAGTGTGCAATCATATTGTCCATGCCGCCAGTACGGGTCATTCTTGGATCCCAGCACCATGGTCAATGTGGTAGGTAGTAGTGGTTGTTCCTGAGGCTTTGGTCTTAGATGTGTTCTCATCGGCGGCTTGATTTTCTGCACAGCAGAAATAGCGGTTGACCATCCAAGGGAGCAACGAAAACTAATGGGGCAAACAGACAAAACAGACAAACATCAACAAGAATAGAGTTTGAACAACAACCATAGGGTGTTGACAATCCAAGGGACACACATCACATCGGTTGATAACTCTAAAACCGGCTGTCCGGTCACACCGGTTGTGAGCCGACAACGGGGGCAGCTCCTTCCACCAGCGGTCTTTGGGAGAGGTTTTGGTTGTGGTTGAAACGGGATGGGATGGCTGTTCCCTCGGAAAAAGAAAGGTCCGTCACTGGATGATCCACACAAGAGGATGGTAACGTATGGTATAATACGTATGATATATAACTCTAATCATGGAACATGGAGATGTTGGGAGTAGGTCAACATGTCCCACCTTTGACCAGCAACATGGAGGGAGTTATGTTTTTGCGTTGATTGACCCACTCCATGGCCTCGGTGACATATGTTTCAAGCCCATTGGATTTCTGAGCGTTCGGAAGTCATGGAACCTGTCTAGCAGATGTTTCAGCGGTCGACCACTTCGGACCACTTCTGACGTTGGCCTACCCAGCCAGTGGAGAACCTTTGGCCCTTTTGGGAGTTGGTTTCATCATGGTTTCGCCACAAAACAAGGACAGTTGGAAAAACATGGAAAAACGTTTAACCAGGGAAAGTGAGGGAGTTAGTTGGAACCAGAGACTGGTTCCAACAAAAAAAACGGCCTGGCAATTCGTCACCCACGACGAACCGTCGGTCAGTTCGTGGGGAACTCCATCGCCTGCGTGGCCAACATTCCGGATGGCAAGAGCGCTCGACAGAGCTGGAGGTGCAACTGCTCGTTGTACCATGGTTTCAGAGGTTCGATGGCACAAGGGCCCCCAGGTTCGGGGTGGTTTAGATGGACCCCTATCTAAAAAGGCATCGAACGGGGTGCCAGTGCCATCGAACCTCTGAAACCGTACTTGTAGCCTGGTTGACGTCGACTGGAGGAAGGGCATTCCACTAGAAGAAGAAACCGCATCTCCGATTCAGCATGTCAGCTACCAAATGACCATGAAGACATCTTCCAATTCAGCATATGACACCAGGTCAGTTGGGGTGGTTGATTGTAGGGGTTGTAGGCATAGACATCTTACATTCGCATGGAGCCTTTGGGTAAATTCAGTGGGTTCAGTTCCCCCCAACAAGAAGAGAACAGAAGTCACGTGGTCTGAGAGCCACACATCTGGATCTCTCAAAAAGCCGATTGAAGGTGGTGCTTGTTGACACAAGTTGAGCGACTCCATCGCGATGGCGGAGCGACTTTGGCGGTAGGATGGTCGAGGTCTTCGCGTCGATGGTCGCTTCCATGAGGCATAAAGGTATCTACGCAGTGTCAGCCAGAGGCTGGGAAGGGCTCAATCAGCTTGGCAGCTTGAAGTCAGAACTTTGGGATGGATGTTTTTGCAGTGACGGCAGATTCTTCTGCGAGCTTTAATAGGGTTGATGGCTGTGGGGCTCATGCCCTGCCCAGAGAAACATATGTTACTAAGAGAATATGTGTTTTCTTTTTGGGGAGTGGTGTGTGGGCAACAGATAGGTCAAGAGGACATGTAACTACTCAACCAGCAAAACTGTGAACCAAGAAGGAGCACACCCCTTGGAATCATCCAAAGGGCGGACAGTAAAGGACAATGACAGGCCATCCTCCCGGGGCCGACAGTCCACGTTCGGACGTGGACGTCTTGGACCCCGCGGTGTCACGATAAGGCGGTCACCTCTACTGTACTCACTCGACATTGCGCGCCAACGAGTTCTTACATTTCTGGCCAGGGCTGATGTTTCTGGAGGGGAGCCTGGCCAGTTCTGACTGTGAAGGAGATGCCTTTCATGAAACGATGCTTGGCCCTGAAACCACTGGTGTGTGCCCAGATAGATGGTTCCAGGGTGCATCATCAAGGGACCCAGCAAGTGTTGATATTAGCAAGGAGTGTGCAACTCCTATGTCCTCCTACAACAGGGGTTAAAGAAATCAGGTGCGACACTCCAGCACCCTTGGGACCCTTGGGAGTTGGAAGAGCTTGGAAGGGCGGAACCTGCATGACACCAGACTGGAAGCACCAACCATCGAATAAGGCCTTAACTTAACCTTTAACCATGTTTCTTTTAAAACAGTCACCTGAGCTTGTGGTTCACATTTGGCGTCATTGTGCTATAATTATCTACACGACACTTCACGTTTTTGTCAGGGAAAGAGAGAGAGAGAGACCCATTCACATTCAGTCACCTTTGCAGCGCAGCCATAAACTAGAGTCACTGGATTTGGAGTCGAGCAGTCCTCCTCTTTTGCCGTTCAGAGTGTGTGGAGACATCGCCACTGGCGCCATCCAAGGGAGGATATCGCCCGGCGGATGCTGGAGACCAGTGGTAACGACTCAACCCTGGTCGATTGCACTGCATTTGTGGCTCGTCCCAAGAAGTTGAGCCAGAAAAAAAAAAGGTGGGTTGATGTAAAGTAGTATTGTGGGATCCTTCGTTCAGAATTCCACGCACCGCCGCAGCTATTTCTGATGTTTTCTGTCTTTGTGGAATGTGTCATTTAGCTGGGGAACGACCCTCCGGACGACATCCAAAACGTCATTGGAACGACCTTCTTACCTACGTACATCATGTATTTGCTGCTGCTGCTCTTGCTCCTCTTGCTCCTCCTGCTCCTGCTGTTGCTCCTGCTCCTCCTGCTGCTCCTGCTGCTCCTGCTCCTTCTGCTGCTCCTGCTCCTCCTGCTCCTCCTGCTGCTGCTGGTGCTGTTGCCGGTGCTGCTGCTGGTGCTGCTCCTGCTGCTGCTGGTGCTGCTGGTGCTGTTGCTGGTGCTGCTCCTGCTGCTGCTCCTCCTGCTGCTGCTGCTCCTCCTTCTCCTGCTCCTTCTCCTGCTGCTGCTGCTGTTGCTGCTCACTTTCGATGGACCGTATTTAGCCAGGTTTCTCGGCGAAAAACGACCTATCTCAGCCAGAATGACCACCACTACTGACTACTACCACTACTACTACTACTACTGCTACTGATACTGCTACTGCTACTGCTACTACTACTACTACAACTACTACTACTACTACTGCGACTACTACTACTGCCCCTCCTACTCCTACTCCTACCCCTACTCCTGTGTACTCCTACTCCGACTGCTGCTGCAGCTGCTACTGCTGTGTTTAATACTATTATTGCTACTACTACTACTACTGCTGCTACTACTACTACTACCACCACTACCACTACCACTACCACCACCACCACCACCGCCATCGCCATCGCCATCGCCATCGCCGCCACCGCCACCAAACATAAAGACCGCCGCTTGTAAATCGCACGGTTTGCTGTTGGGATCATGGTTTTCGTACCAGTTTTTTCCAGCTCAGTTGGAGATTTTCGCGTTGTTTGTTTGTTTTTTGTTTTGGTATGTTTTGACTGTTTGATTAAAACACAAAAACAAAAACCAGTTGAGTGCACAACAATTGTTTTTTTAGTTTTTTTTTTCAACCGCTTGCTGAGCACCCCCGGCACAATGAGGCGGACTTGATGACAGCTGTTAGTGATCTGATGTTTTCTGGATCCTTTCTGCCTTAGGTCCCTTTTTTGGGGGGGGAGGGTGTGCTGGACCTCATGCCACTGGCTTTGTGTATGCATATTCGTTCTTCTACTGGAGTCCATCCTTCCCTGTTTGAGTGGCGAAGTTCCCTGATATGAACCCATGCCAGCTTGGTGGATGCCTGTCACATGCATGACACAGCTTTTGATGTTTATGTGCTGCACGCTCTCCACTGATACTGATCGCGACGTCGCATGTCTTGGGTTCAGAAGTTGAATGTCTCACTTTGTTCCTAGTAACTAGTAGCGTCCTCTTGTTCTGTTCGTAGCTACGGCCAGGACCCCTACTAGTAGCGTCCGATCGCTCCGTTCGTAGTTTCTTCTTCAATGGGGGGCCAACCTGGAGGACCCGGACGGCAGCGCCGACCCGAGCCATGTCATTGAGAGACCACGCTTGGCAGCGGAGAGCGAGACCATGCGAGTCCTAAGTGCTTCCAAACCGGACCACAGTTTGAGGGCTGGGGAGTTCGGCAAAGCACTGCGTGAAGAGCCACAACGAATCCACTTCAGACTGCAGCGAACGCAAAGCTGCAGCGAACAACTACTGGCAACGAATGCATTGCTACTCTCTCGCTCTCTCTCTCTCTCTCTCTCTCTCTTTGATGAGCTGTGACCACTGCGTTTGGCACTTTTGCACTGCCAACATTCCCAAGCGAACACTCCCAGACAGAAACATGTAGGACCGAAACTATTCATGACATCATGGCAATGTTTGAGACGTGACTTCCGACGTGACATAGATTTGAGACACAACATTCATCTATGACAGGGGCCAGGGCTCATACGTGACTGGTCAGCATTTGCCTTTTGACACCATGAAACAGGAGAAACCTGACGAGATCGACGCAGCGGCTCGCGTTGCGTGATCACCACCAGACTCACAAGCGCCCCACAACCACAGCATGCCAGTATGCCACAAAGAACCGCTTGACTACAAAGTGTCCAAAGGGGTTCAATCCCTGTGCTAGGTTGGAAGTGAAATTTGGAAAGACCTGCACCATCTTGGTGCAATCTCCTTCCTATGGATCCACATGCCTTCTGAGAAGGTGATTGGAGACTATTTATGTAGGCTTGGAGAGCCCACATACCTTCTGAGAAGGTATGTGGATCCATAGGGCCTATGATTTGGAAAGACCTGCACCATCTTGGTGCATCTACTATGTAACTTGCCACGACTGCACCAGAGCCCATCGCGTAGATATTGAGCCAACGATATAGGAGGACCTGAGAACCTATAGACAAACAATAAGAGAATGAGACAGAACCCCACGTCACCAGGTGGCCCAAATCTCGGAGGCGTCGGAGGTCCGACGAGCTATCAAGGAGGCGGGCTTTTGGGGGGGTATGGCCTCGGCGGATCTGCGGAAGTGTTGAAGTCCTGGATAGTTTGGGTTTGTCCTATTACCTGCAACAGTAAGTAAACAAATTTACTATTTTAGAACCAGCCAGAAATGCTCCAATTTGTTGCTTGTTTCAATATGGGGGAGTAATGCGATCGTCTTCGGTCTTCGCGAGGCATTTTCAGGGGCAGTCCCCCAACAAAACGCCTCCTCCTCACTTCCCAGACCACGAGCCATGCCCTCCCCGCCGCGTCACTCCCGGCCCACCAGGTCACCCAGACCACGAAGGTCGTCCCCGCGTTGACCATCGTGCAGGTCGCTAAGCGTGGCCGGGCTCGGCGGCGTTCGGATGGACGTAGGTGGAGAGAATTGGGAGCTCTCACGAAAGCCATGAAACGATGTGAAACGCATTTTAAAGGGCTTGGATCTTGCAGAACTCGGGGCGTTTTGGGACTTACCTATCCAAAAGAAATTCAGCTCCTTTGATGATCTTTGACTTAGGACCTAGGATCATTTTTTTGCGTCCGATTGATGGCCTCCACCCGCCCTAGTCGTCCCCGGTCGTCCCAGTCCCCACATGGAAGAGGCGCAGCGCTTGCCGAAGAAGTCAGTGCTTTTGCGATGTACTGCAGATGTGTCCGGAGGAGCTCAGCAGCTAAGGAGTGGGTGTCTGGAGTGAGTGTCAACAGTACGGCCTTCCTGGGAGTGCGTGCGAAAGGTTGTAGGACCACCATAAGGAATCCCAGGAGAGGTGAAGGTGAAGATTGAAGACACCATCTACATCCATCTACAAAGGACCACTATAAGGACCATCTACTATGGACACAATTTCTTGGTAGATGGGAGAGGTGAATCCAAGCACGGCTTGAATCAAGAGTTCCTGCGTCTTCGCTCGTGTTGACCATACTCGTGCCATGCACGTGGTCCACCTCACCCAGTCCCGTCATCCCCGCACCGCGGCCAGGTCTGAGTCCGAGGAGTCCACAGAGGGCCTGGTTTTGACTCAGAGTGGCCTGGTTTAGCATGGGAATCGAATCCGTAGTAACCACTCTGTTCGAAGAGGCTGAATGGACATCATGACCTGGTCTTACTATGTCTCATTATGTCTTACTTCGACCATTTGATGTGCTTGTAGAGTGAAGGGCTTCCCAACCCGCTGTGAGACTGGGAAGCGCCAAGCCGCCAAGACCTATTCGCAGGTGTGATCTGCTGCCGTTCCGGAAGGGGGGTCTTTTGGTACTTGGAATCTTACCAGTTGGGAGTGGGTCACCATTCGCTTCAACCCCAGATCATGGGCTTCAACATGGGAAGATGATGTAGACTCTTGATGAATGAAACCTTTATAGGAAGAATTATGAAGAGGTTCTAATTGTATTTCACAATCAAGATCTATGTTTTTTAGTGAATCGTGAAGCATAATATATACATTATTATATATATATATATATTATATATGTATATAATAATATAAATCTCTATATATATATATATAGTGTATATTTGGGGATGGCTTGCAGCTTGGTTGCTCCACAACTGGCGCAGAGGACTAACGTCACGTCCATTTTTTTCCCACTTTCCGGACGTTGATGGTTCCAACACACGAAAGACCAGAAAATTGCCAACACATCAAGTTTCCAGCTCCAACATTGAGCAATCGGGGCTATTTACTGCCAAGATCTACCAATGGTACCAGAATTTGCCAGAAGTATCCAGACATCGACCCCTACCCCAAGGGGAGTTTTTCCACCATGAGGCAAAATGATGGGATTTGTGAAGAAACAGGCGCGCCAACAATATGCAGCGAGCTAACCACCTCAAAGGATGAGCACCCACACCCTCGTCCAGCAAATGAGGCTTCGCCTTCACCTCAGCCCAGCTGGCGTGGAATTCCACTGGTCGGCGGTCTCAGCATCCGAAACGCCTGACGCTGAGGAATCGAGACGGATCCAGGACTTCTCCACGTTTCGTGGCCTGTGGGGACGAATTCCCATCCTTCCAGTTTCCCCTCAGACATCCCCCCCAAAAAAGAACATGTGAAAAAGACCAAACAAAATTGAACAACAATCGATCTACAACTGCAGGACACACAGTTCACCGGCCGGTGGTTGATTGAGGGATTCTGGATCCGAAGCAGTTTAAAACCAAAAGCGTGTTTTGTTCTGTTTTTTGCCTGTTGAGGTGGCGGGGTTGCATTGGTCGGCCACGGTGGTCGGGTTTTTGGCTGATAGCGGTTTGTGTGGAGCTTTCGAAGTCAGGACACAAAGACTGTAGAGACTCTTGAGGTACATAAACATCATAACCCCCCCAACTTTGGATGCACTAAGACCTCTTTTATGTGGGAAAGGTTTTATTCATCCAGAGTCTACATTCAAAACATGCGCTTTGGACACTCCACTTGAGAGGGGTCCTAGAGTAGTTTGTCGAGGTCTTATATCGATCATGGGCAGAATCTCCAGTCTGATTCTGTGGGGATTGATTTGCATGGCTCCCACCAAACCCAGAGGATTCTTGCTCTTCCAAGCCAGAGGCTTGTGTTCCTGCCATTGTTACATAGATTGTTTAAGCCAGACCTATCAATAGCAGTATCAACAGCATCTATGTTTTGCCCAGATCGGCCCGGCGTGGTCGACAGTGTCCGAATCGTTCCACCGGTCCGGCGTGGTCTTCGCGTTTGGACCCTTCGGAGCCAACCGGACCACGTGGCTGAAGCGACGTAGTTTGGAGGCCATTGCTAGTAATAAGAAGCTACTAGTAGCACAGGGCATTGCTACTAGTAGCAAGAAGCTACTGGTAACAAGTGCATCGCTACTGGTACCTTCTGCACCATCCCCACACTGAGAGTCCCGCCCGGGGAGGCCTGGATGCCCTTGAGAGCTTGGGGCGCTTGCTGCAGAGGGCCCAGTTGACCCTCAAGGAAGCGAAGAAGCGCGCGAAAAGGGCGAAGCGCAGGCAGTCGAGGTGTTAACCACCCGGAAGGGGTTCCAAACACCAACCCTTCCACCGCGGTGGAAGATGGTGGAAGTTTCTTTGTATATTGAGATCCTTTGAAGCTTTTAGTTACCCTGAGTGACCTGATGTGCAGTAATTACTGAAGGGAACCTCTAACAATCCTGCCAATTGATCGATGATGTTCTGTTCGATCGTGAGGAAGTCATCAGCTGCTCCTTCTTCGTGAAGGATCAGAACAAGGTCTTTGATCTCTTCGGAGGTTTCTTCCAAGTCTTCAACCAGGCCCGACCTGCGGGACCCTTCGGCCACATGGAGCGACCCTTCGGCCATCTGGAGCGTCCATTCGGCCATATGGAGCGTCCCTTCGGCCATATGGAGCGTATTTTTGGGTGCCAGCCTTGGTGGAAAAAGGGTGAAAAAGGTACACCATCTCGTGTGAGCCTTGCGGTTTTTGCCCGCCTTCGACTGATAGCATCAACCGACTGGGCAGAAACTAGGGCATCAGCATTGAGACAGGCGCAAAACGTTGGCGCAAAAGCCAAAACGTTGAGGGCGCTCAGCCATAGGGTCGCTCCTTTGTGAATACCTTCCCTCCAACCATGCTTGGTCGAACAGATCCAGTTCGGAAAGCAACACTGACCGTCTAACAAGCTACTGAAATTTGCAGGATTCAGTCAACAAGAACGAAGCTCTAAGCATTTGCCTTTGAGGATAAGCTCCAGAAGCACCCTCCAACATCCGACGGTCCTACTCCTTGTGTTTTTGCCGCTCCAAAGGCTTTTTCATGTTTCATGTGAAAAGGAGCTGATGCGAACTGGTTCTCCGCGGGAGAATCCACCTCCACCAGCTCGAGGTGAATACGAAGCGCCCAGTGTTGCTGGGCGAAGGAAGGGGCACTGGGCGAGCAATACGGTGTTGTTGGTTCAGCCTAAGACAAACGGTATGTCAACGATTAGTATAAGAATTCCAGGGTAGGAACAAAATCAGTCCAATGGCCTATCTGAATAAATAGGATCAGCGTACATGTTCATCAAATATACCATACTCGTATGTATTTTGGCTTGCTTGGTGATTGACTAATTTGGAGCAAAACACCTAGAAAGAATGGACCGTTACCAAAACTTGGCTTGGTCAGAGATGGTGTGAACAATCCCCCAGAAACTTCTAGGCGCGTTGTCCGAGATGATGTACATGGTGAGGGCCCGGAGGCGGTTTCATCTTCCCGATGATCCCTTCAAACATGTTCACTCAGGTTTTGGAAGGCTTGGTGGGGGGCATGATGTCGAGTAGTTCAGATCAAAGTTCCACTTTGACAATGTTTGACCTGTTGTTTTCTTGGGGGAAGAACCAGCAAAGTGGCCACACAATTCATAAAGAGACCTCAAAAACCATTGAAACGAGGTTAAATCAAATCTAGAAGACAGGGTCAAGTGCTACTTTTCTGGTTTGCAACAATCAGGCCTTGTTGCGAGCAGATTTGAAGTTTAAAAGGCATCGAGCGCAACCGTAGCCAAAGAGTGGCTTTGTGGCACCAAAGCGAGTTGGAGCACCGTGCCTGTAGTTCGTCACCACTTGAGGCAGGGTTGACAGTATTCATGGCTGTTTGAAATCCACAGAGAAGAGGGAGGAGTTATTGAACATGGTTGGGAGTTTTGATCAACTCATGTTGTGTTTGCGTTTTAAAGCAATTTGCTTTGATCTAGGAGAGGACTTTTGAAGAGACTACCGAACTCGGTCATTGAACAGTGGAGCTGATATTGTCGAATATGTTGGAGGGGATGCTTAAAGAGATCTTCACGCTTATTCTCAAGGGCATGGGCATGGAACAAGAGAATTCTGACGAACGATTCATATTATGATGCGTATGATGCCTGTGGAACGCCCTTGGTCAATCACATGCCAACCAATCTTCGTGTTCAGAAGAGATCAGAAGACAAGACTTTGAGGTGGGAGTCGGGAGTCCTGGGGGTGTACAGCATGTCTCACTTCCAAGATCTTACACGACTTTTCACCTATGAGCACCAGGGGCAGGTTGCTGAGAATTACAGATATTGTTGCTAGCCAATTCAAGTAACGATGCAGAGCCCTTTCCACCGGCTGCTTTTTGGCAGTGTTGGTGTTGTTTGAGCAGACGTTGAACTAAAGTTCCAGAATTCCTGCATCCATTAAGATGAAGAGATCAAAACACATTGGTGTAGCAATGTGTAAGCAAAGCAAGGAGTTGAAGAACGTCCATCCATGTCCTCGTTGGTTTTGGCCAATATCTTGTTCTCATGGTAGTGCGACAGGTGAGACTACACACTGAAGCTGGCAAAAGCCATGCCGGCTAAGAATGATTGAAGTCCGCTCCAGCTTTGAAGTCACTTCGTTCCCAGGAATGTGCGGAGTGCCAAGTGGCGGCCAAGTGCGTCGCTGCGCGGAAGGCCGGAGAGGGGCAGGTTGGGTGAACCGGAGGTGCCAGAGCTTCTCCAAAGACTTTTTTCCAAGCGAATCCATATTTTGTGATGAGTTATTGAATTAAAGCTTCTTTTTGGGGGGATGTAGACCAGTTTGGAGATCAGATGTTTGTCAGTTCGAGTGTGTATACTAGATGTGGCACCTGTACATAATACAAGATAAAACTATGATATTATATATAATTGGAGTTGCAATATGTTTGAATAGTGTGATAAGATATATTTGTGTGCATTCAGAAGTGACATCGAATCGCAGCCAACATGGGACGTGCCTTCCGTGCACCCAAGGCGCCCACCGACTTGGAGATGTTGGTGTGAAACCGACGGGCGAAACGAAAAACGGGCCGCCGCGGCGGTCAGAGCATTGGTCAGATGAATGGATCGTGCAAATGGAGGGGATGAATGGATGGGATACTTGAGGTCGTGTACCAGCAATAGGTGGTCCTTGCCATCGGCCCCTCTAATATTTCCAAGGTTGGACATCAAGTGGGCCCAGAGCTTCAGAACCGAATTTGCAGACGTGCTGGTTTTAGGTTTTAGTGGATCACGCTGCTAACCAGTGCTCATTTGGGATATGTCCGGAGATGACTGGGGGTTCTCACAGTTCTATCAAGATTGCCCCCTGTACAGGAATGAAAGCGCAGACACGTTCCTTCTTTCAGATTGGCAATTGCAATGCATTTTGAAGCAACAGCCATGCAGAATGATCTCCTTGGTGTGTTACTGTAGTGTGGACTGCAATCAGAACTCCGCCCATGAAACACCAACCCCTTTGGCTAGAGAGGCTAGAGATACGTAAGACACACTTGGGCGCTTGGAGTTGATGCCACAAGCACCACAACGTCCGTGTGCTTTGGACGTTGCACACCACTCAGGTGCCCACTCCGTAGCACAGGCCAAGCAGAGAGGCGACATACGGCTGGCTTTGGTGGGTGAAGGTGTGGCTTCACGGTTTGAAGGTGTGGCTTCGGCTGCTTTGCGTCAGTTTTTCAGCTGCTTTTGCGTCAGACCATGTGGTCGAAATCGACCATGTTTGTCGATGTGGTTCTCTAGAACTTGAGGTTTCCGAACCATGGCACGTGTGGTCGTTTCCGGAACATCTCCGGCACGTGGCATAGGAGCCCGAGCCAACCTAAGTCCTATCAGGTTTCCGATGTTTCCCTCACTGTGGTCATGTGCAGGCTATCACGGCATGCGCATCAACATGGCCTGGGCCTCGGAGGGTTTTTCAAGTGAGGTGGCTGGAGGTCCTAGGTGGCCGATAGGACCAGCCGCGTACGATACGGGAAAGGGGGTTCCATTGGGCACCCCTTGCGAGGTTGATATATATATATATATATAAATATATGTGTGGATGGCTAGTATAATTGGTGAGTAGGCAGTGAGAGAGGGGCCAGTAAGAAGAAGCTTCACCTAGTGCACAAGGCCAAGACAGTCCCGTGCAATGCGCGCTGGGAACGATCAGGTGCTACCAACAGAGGTTGAAGAACCCTATAGTACATAGAACCCTATAGGCTTAGCCTCTGTTGCTAGTAACAATCGAAGGCAATCGAAGGTCCTCATCCTAGCTCCACCCCAGAGACTGATCAAGGAGACTTGACTGGCGCAGTCCTAGTGTAAACAAGGTCCTGTTCACAACAAAAAGTAGCAAGGCGGTCTGTGCCCCAGTGGTGCCACTTGGTTGTTGTTGGAAGCCACTAGCATGTGAGCTCTTGAAGTTGAACCTCAACCGGAAGCATCCTGTTGATTTTCGGGTCACCTGTGAGGACTACCTTCCATTGCTAAAAAACAAGCATCGCTACTGCATCTTCGTCACGAGTGGCAATAGATGGCAATAGTAATCACTGCCTGTTCCTACTACCTGCTCATCACTGAGGTGGTCTCCACGAACGTAGCAGCTCAGAGGGTCTGTTCGGCCTGTGGCTTTCGAGTCCTTTGTGTGCTACCACGGTGTCTCGGCCGAACGACCTCGGCAGCGGACGTTGGCGTCGGGCTAGACTCGTTCATCCAAGCAACACAAACACATACGCCATGTCCAAACACCGAACCATCATGCTGGTCAAAGGGTCATTCCACATGCTGTACCGTCGTGGAATGACACGACCAAGCTGGACAGACAATAGCTTCCTTCGCTTCATTGAGCTGCATAAAAAAAGCAAGTCACACATAATATAACCGATCATAATCACGTATCGATCAAAACAGTTCAAATTATGTATGCATGAGTTATGCATGAGTTGTGTAGAATATATATATATAGATGTACAATTATAATATACATGTAATATTTGCATGCATATGAATTTATAGTAATGTTTTTATAGTATTATAGTAATGATTATACACGTTTGTAGCTCCACATGTTTGATCATTGAAGCCATTGGTTGCCTGGATTCACTTGGGCATCTCTTGCCGAATCTTGTAGCTTTCTCTTGCCGAATCTTGTAGCTTGGCCTTGAATGTCCTGCCACACACCTGAATTGCTGGAACTAACATGGAAGTGGATGGTACGGCCCCTTGAAAGACCATGAAACCCTCATACCAAGGAGTTTTCCACTTCCATGTTAGTCCCGGGGAGTGCATCCAGGAAAAAACGCGGTGGGGCCAGCATGTTCAAATGACTTGTTCAGCTAGCCTTGAATGGCCACTAGAAGTGGTCTCCCAAGGTCCACCCACCGTTTTGGTCGAAACGTGGCGCATGCCGAAGATCGGCCGACGTTTAGGGCCTTCCATCATCCTGAGCGTGGGCTCGTGGACACCTGCTTGATGTTCCATGGTCTTGGTGAAGAAGTGCGGGCGACCCAGGGGGCTTCCATCGGTGCAGGTAGATGGACGTGTGGGAAGTTTGGCAGACAGTTCTCATTGAGGAGATGTTTAGACTCGTTTAGTCACAAGGGGGTGGGTCTACAGTAGCGAGGAGGTTCTTTTTGGCTCAACAAATCACCGTGCGCCACCTCACGCAGGAATATCATATAATTGCATATAATATAGTCTCATCGTGGAGCCTTTGGAGCGGAACAGGCGATGGACTCTCTCCGAAGATGGCCACGGAACCGCCGACCTAGTCCATGAAAGTCCTCGAAACCTAACTCCACCAACTTTCTCGCTGCGAAATCCTTTGATCTCCCAGGAGCCCACGACACGGCCGCTGCCCGTCATGCGGCTGCCTGAGGCGCCGGTTCGGTCGGGTGGCCTAGGCGGGTGGCAACAGAAGGCGATGAGGAGGCTCAGAAGGTGAGTCGGCGTGGAGATATTTGAGTTCCTCATCTTATTTCATGTGTAGATAGTAGAAACTGAACTTGTTGCATTTCCCTGTGTCCTTGGATGACTTCATCAATCTACAAGATAGTGACTAACGGCTTCCCGCTCCCTTCTTCCCAAGTGTCCTTCATCCTGCGCACTCTACCACAGAGTCAAAACCGGCACACTAACATATGCACCATTCTGCACCACTAGAGAATAGATGGGACATGTCATTGGTATTCTAAGACCGGACCAACGGACTCCGCACCTCTAAGCCGTTTCTCGAGCCCCTGGCCGACAGGCCATGTCCTGGCCGTGGGTGTTTCATGACCGATAGCTGGATGTTCATCGTTCTTCGACCTCCGCAGCGACCTCTCAGAATGGACCTGACCTGACCTCCCCCCCACGACCACCTCCCAGTCGGAAAACCGGTGGTCGGAAAGCGGGTGGACGTTTTCTAAGAAAGAGATCAATACATATCAATACGATCCGATCTGCGATAGCAAGACCTGACCGAAACTGAAGAAAGCAGTGAGCATCCATCTTGGATTCACCCAACAAAAAATACCCGTGGTGGAATTTGTGTGTGTGTGTTCATGGTGGTTTCCATGGTTTTTGTGGGTTCCCACAGTGATGACGTCCGTTCCTTCTTCGAGGCCTTCTCGGGAGGAGCGGAAGGACCACATTCTGCTGACGGGTGCCGAGGCAGGTGGCGGATCTCTTCCATGGCTCCAGGGCAGGTGACGTCAGGTGGATCGTCATGGTTAGGCCACCTGGGTATCTCTTCCCCTTTTTTGTATGACTGCTATCTGTACTTACTTGATTGGGCCTGATCAAATCCAAGATTGGTACTTGAAGGTACTGGATGGTCTTTTTATTGTCCGGGCTGACAGATGTTTGGCTTGAGTTTGGGTCCGCCACTTGGTTGGAAAGGCAGAAACATTTTGTTCCATGATTTTGATTTTGGTGGAAGGCCCCCACACTAGACTCACTCGCTGTGGACATTCCCAGGGAGTTCCAGGTATACAGTTGGAGCTCGACAAGAGAAAGCAAAGAATGTGTCACCCACAAAAGCTGAAACATGCTGAAACCCTCAGAACGAGTTGAGCCTGAGGAACTTGAGGCCGCTGTTTCCAGCGGCAAGGTCTTGCGGCTTTTTCGGTGGAGCCACGCCCCAGCCTTGCCTTATCAGTAGGGGGCTGGAGCCCCAAACACATCTAAATTGTGACAAAGAGTTCCATGAGTTTGCCCATGTCCATTTCTTTGCCTCTGGGCAAAATCAGGCACAGCCGTATTGGTTCCAAATTCAGCCGTTGGAATTCCTAGGGCAAACTCAGTTCCCGAGACGGTCGGACTGGAGCCAAACAAACATCTCATAAAACATCATCCCTAGAGCTCCAAGCGCCTTCTAAGAAGGTGTTTGGGGTGGGCTTGGAGCCCTAGGGCATGACAATGACAACCATCTACAGTATAGGCGTCTTTGTGAGATGACTCCGGGACGAGTCATGCCCGCCAAAGAGAGAGAGAGAGATAGAGCCATTTGTTTGGATGCCACAAGTTGGAGACTAAAATGGCAACACGCCTTTTGTGACTGCGCGCCGTGTTCGGGAACAAGACTATTGTCCACCAAACACATTGGGAACATCTGGTCGCCTCAGAGAGGACTAGAGGACCCGGTCCTCGTCAGGTCCTTTTGCCGGTGGAACCTCAAGGCAGATCTTGGGGAAACGGACCGGTGCTGGGGGTGGAATCTGAGTGTTCCAAGTCGGTGGCATGACTTCCGAGGATTACTTGAGAATCTGTTGGATGGTGAAGCAGATGGTTAAGCAGTTCAATCATGTTCAATCACTTCTGAGGCTCGACTGATTTGTTGCATGTGTTCCTAATAGACGATTGTGTGGTTGATTTAGTTTGTGGTTGAGATTCGTTGATAAGTTGTTTTCCTATCAGCCGACCGACTGTAAGTGTACGGCGGGTTGGAAGAGCTCTTGAAAAAGTCTGGAATGGCGGGTTGGAAGAGCTCTTGAACAAGTCCGGAATAATGTAAGGGAATGCATCTAATGTGGTCCCCCTAGATTTGGATGAACTAGCAGCTAGCACTTGCTTTTGATTTTTGTTGTTTGGGGTGGGCAGTTTGTAGCCATGGTACTGGACACCTAGGCTTGACCCAGCAGCGAGCCCTTGTATCTTTTCATTCCCCACACAGGCCTAGTGGGACTTTTGATGGAGAGAATTGGAGAGATTCACTTGGGGTGTTGCTCTCCTAGGCTTTTCTTGGACCCCCCCCGCATCCGTCCTCAAGAACGCCTCGCATGGGTTTTTCACCTTCCGCCCACAACCAATGAGCCCACCATGGAGCGCCATGGAGCTTCATTCACCGGTCCTTCATCCGATCGCCATTCGTTGGGGGGCGCAGACGCTTTCCGTCCAAAACCGCGCCGGCGCGTCGGCCGCGTGTTTGCCATGGCCAACAACCGACCGGGGCAACGGGCCGTGCTTCCCGCGCTGCCGGAGAATGCCTTGTCCAAGAAATCGGCGACGCGACCGACGTGGAGCGGGATGTGTTTGGGGGGGCCGGTTTTTGCACTGGTTTTTCCTGGTTACCTTTTTGTCCTTCCTCTTCGTGGTGAAAAGCATTGAAACGCCACCAAGGAGCTGGAGTTTAAAAGCTGGAGACATGGAGAGGTTTTTCTGTTTGTGAACTCGACCCCATGTGCGGGAATCCGACGTCGATCGGTCATCGGTCGGACGTGTCCGGGACGACGTGTTGCCCGTGCGCCCAGGTGAACCCCGAAACCGATGGCCTGGAGCTTTGTAAGTCACTCGGAGAGACCAGGACCGGTTTTCATCCAGCTGTGACTGGACTTGCCACGGCACCTCTTGAGATCCATACAGTGTAGAGAACTCAAAATTATATACCAATCATTGGGATTGTAAAGCCTCTTCATCTCTCTTCATATGGGGCGATTTTTCCCAGGCTTCTTTCGTTTGAAGATGTCTGAAGGTCCGTATCTAACGGAGTCTAGCCAGGCACGACGAAGCGACGCCGGGGGAATTCCGGTACTGACGACATGACCTGACCAATCCGATTTGGGACTCGCTTTTCCTTTGTTGCCTTGTCTTTTTGGGGTCACTCAATTGACAGTCATTTAATTACAATTTACCGCTATTTGGTAAGGCGGGAAGCCTTCTGAAGCCTTCTTACCGAGCAACCTTTTTGTTTGGGGGTCTCTTCTTTGCACCAGATTAGCAAAACTGGTGCAAATATCACAAAATATCACAACATATCACAACTGTCCATCTCGCATGGCAAACGGGCAACATCAAGAGCCTGGTCTTTCAACCTGTGTCACCTGCCGCCGTGGCCTTCGACGAGACGAGCAACCAACATGGGGGACCAGGTCGGTGAAGACCCAGGCCAACCATGGCCAACCCATGTCAAATGCATTCAACTGCCATTATCATGTTTGTTGATTGTTTTCAATGTCCGATCAGTCGATGAGTCCTTTGTCAGATGCCTCTCAGCCCGATTCTGCCTTCGGTGTGACTGCTGAGGCAAGCTGTGGCATTGCTGGTGGGCGATCTACGCGCCGAGGTCCAGCAGGCGGTGGGTCAGCTCAAGGGGGAGGCCAACGCGGCGTCACTTGGGAGAAAGCGACGTCGCCAAGCCGTTGCGGTTTGGCGCTTCCAGTGCTTCGGTTTGTCCCCGAGGATCGGTTCGTTGGATGTTGTTGGATGTTCTTTTGGGGGGAGGAGGAGAGGATGAGATCGGTAATATGGGAGGATGTTTCTCACATGTGTTCACAGAGTTTTGCAGATGATGTTTCAGATTGTTTCATCATTTTCTTGCTGCTAGCAACTCTGAAAGGGTGGTTCTATCAGCTGGTTTGTAAACCACACGAGCTGGGAAGATTGTATGCTGACACGATCGGTGACACTGTTGGTAATTAGTTTGAGGCACGAGTCATCAGGTTTATAAATAAAATAAATAATAGATATTTACTTAACTTATATTATAGCATTGCAAAGAAGTGGGAGTGTGTTTGTGTGTTTTCCCTCGGACCCAATTCAACCCTTTTCGCTTCCATAAGTCACAGACCGGAAATTCGATTGTGTCCGTTTTGGACGCCGGTTTTCCTGAGGAAGAACCCTTTGGGCTCAAAGTTGCTGAATGTGGCCGATGGTTTGCAGCAAGCGGAGAAGGACCAAAATGTTCCTTTTTCAGAGAATTACATCGTCGAAGCAACAAATCGATCGCAAGTACGGTTGTGAAGACGGTTTGCATTTTGGACTCAGTAAGGCACAAGGATCAGTTTGGATCTTAGATTATCGTAGATACTTGATACTCGTTCGCACGAAGTCGAGGTGGGTGTGAAGGGAAACTGCTGTTTTTCGTTCATAGACTCAGACCTTTAGATGTTCTGATTAATATTGATTAATTTTATATTGTTTGTTTGCTTCAGGGGTGGGAAGTGGTTCAACCAGCGGGGAATGGTTTCGTGTTGTGGGCGATGGTGGGGCTGAAGACAGAGTGGGCGCATGAGGTATAGAATGCTACACACGTGCTATTGCTACCCTTTCAATTGCTAACCCTTCTGCAGTTTACTTGAATCATGGAACTCTACTACTACTAGTGCTACTGCTACTACTGCTACTGCTACAACTACAACTACAACACCAACAACAACGCCAACAACACCAACACCAACAACAATAACAACACCAACAACACCAAGACCAACACCAACAACAAGAACCAGAACAACAACAACAACAGCAACTACTACTACGACTACTACTACTACTACTACTACCTCTACTACCTACTATATACTTACTACCTACTATATACCTACTACCTAATATATACCTACAGCCTACTACCACCACCGCTACGACGACGACGACGACAACGACAACGACAACGACTACTAGGGGGGTTACTATTTAAGATCCAACATTATAGGATTTCACGGGACGAGACAAACAGCGAAGCTTTTGACGAGCGAATGATCAAGTACACATGGCGTACCACACAACCATTCGTGTGAATAATACAGTAGGATGTTTTCCCCTTAGGGCTCCAAGTTTGCCTATTAACCCCACCCCTAAACAGTTCATACTTTTCAATTACCCCGGGCTTGTGTACTACTCCCTCAAAAATTGTTTGGGGCAATGAAATTGATGAATTTTAAAACGCGTTGTTGAAAATGCTTTCCTGGTCACAGATCCATGATTCAAGCAATTCAAACCTCAGAAGATTTAAGTAAGGGCTGGAAAGGGCAGCAATAGCCAAAAAATGCTAAAGTAAGAGTTAAGTAAGCTAAATCAATAGACAAGACAAACCTCCAAAAAACACACTGGGTGAACAATTTTTTGGTGTTATTCCTTCCCATTATATAAACCATTCAGGGTGTGAGAATAATTTGGCGAAACCTGTTTAATTGTTCCCTCCCACTAGACTGATTAATTGGGATCTGAATTTAAACAGCGAGGTGCACTGCTGGAGATTCTCCACTTTGACAGACCTGCATACCATTACATACCCAAGGCCAGGACCTTCCCAGTGACCTTTTTGGAGTCCTTAAGTGACCTCATGCAGGCCGAAGCGACCTCAAACCAGGGGATCAAAAGGTCACTGGGAAGTTCCAGGCCCTTGGATTAATTATAGGCAGGTTTGGGGAGGCCAGAAAGTACCCCCCTCAAACCAACATGTTTCATGGCTTGGAACACTTTGATGGTTGTTCTTACTGCTTTGCATGGCAGCTACCGTCTTGAACAATGTATACGGGTTTGTATTTTTTTAAGGTTCCCGGGCCGGGATGTTTGACTATGGGGTATGCTTCGGAGGTATGCTTCGGGGGTATGCTTCGGGGTATGCTTCGCACAGTGTGAAGACTAAAGTAGTAGCATTTCCAGAGGGTATGCTTCAGGGTATGCTTCGGGGGTATGCTTCGGGGTATGCTTCGCCTAAGTCGAACATCCCAGCCCTACATAAACTGGACACCTTAAAAAAAGACAAGCCCATACATATGCGCATGGTTGTGCATATATGTTTTGCTTGTTATTGCCACAGTGCTCCGCAGTGCACCTCGGATGGATCAAGCACAAGAGTCCTCCAAAAAAACGTCGGGTAGTGCAGGAGTTGCTGCTTGGGTGGATGTGATATAGCGAATTTGTGCACGGAAATGAATGCAATGAGTTTGCAACAAATGGAACGAACAAATAAGATTGTGACCTACAGCTTTTAGAGTTCCTTTGGCACTATGGTTCTCAAGTTTGTAGGGCGTACATGTCCGTTTGTGTCATCCACGGTGTCGGTGCCGCCCTTGGTGTGACCAGGACGCCTTGGGGAGGATGAGGGAGTTGCTGCCCGGCCAAAGAGAGAGCTGAATGAGCCGAACGTTGAAAACACGTTTGCCCGGCCATCTGTGCATCCTGGAAGGTTGATGTGTCCCACAGGTTTGTGCAGGCCTGTGGCACTGTCCATGATCGTTTCCCAAGGGTTTTGAAGATACAGTTGATATCAGTTGATGATGCTTCTTATTTTCTATGTGAAACTCCAAACTCCGATTTGGGGTCCAAAAGCCTGGGGTGTTTCACCTCCATTGAGGTGCTCAAGGCTCAAACCTCACCAAACACAAGGCCACCGTTGAAATCGCGCCCCGTTGAGACCGGTGATGTTTGGTCGTCGAAATCACCCAAGGCTGACACATTCCCACTGGGACTTGGGTCAGCGCCTGGATCAACAGATGCAGGTGTCGGCGGGGTCGGCGGCGGGGTCGGTGATGGTCTCCGAAAAAGGGGCCGGGCCCCGGGCCGTTCATGTTTTCATTGAAGCCGTTTGGGCAGGTCGATTGTTGGGAGATTGGTGTAGAGCCAAAAGTTGAGGCAAGTGCCAAGGTGAAAGGTTCAATCCCATGCACCTTCAAGAGTTCCTGGTTCCTTATGGTTCTACTTTGGCAGGCAGCTGATGGCTGATGACCTTTGTAGGAGGTTCTTGTTGGAAGGGGGCGGCATGGGGGTTGGCGTGGGCGCGGCATTGGAAGTGAGTATATATATGTTCAACATCCCTTCCATGAGAACCAAACGCGCATGATTCCCAGTTCAACATCCTTTGATAGATGCATGTTCAGTGCTTGGCCTTCTCACTTTGGATATTACTGTATGTTGTTTGGATCTACAGGGGGTATATGAGTATATAAATATGAGTCGTAGTGGGTAAGCGTTGATTTGTACTTTGCGTGCTTGGGGTGGTTTCACTCTGCAACTTGAAGGAGAGTATTGTTCCTGGCCGACCTGCATTAACGTTGCCGTTGCTTGCCCTGTGTGGATGCACGTTTGGAGAAACAAGCTGCAATGACCAGAGGGTGTATAAGTGTTTCCAACAAGACGACGAAACTGGTTGTGGTCCATTTTCCAGTGAAACTGTTTCAAAGTTTGATCGCTCCATAGCGAACTATACCAGGAGACCCCAAGGGCCCAAGGGGTGTTGTTTGGACCCTCAGGGGTGGTCAATAGACACCCCTTACCACCAATTGGCACCTCTGAACGGGCCTCCTGGTATGCAAGAAAGGGAACGATCGTTGGATGATACCGAATGGCCGAGACCTGTGGGGCTGAGACTGCTGGTTCGGTTCGATCTGGTTCGATTTGGTTCGATGGGAGGTGAATGCGTTGCTGGGCGACCACTTGGGAGCCTCAAGGGACTTGACGGTGGGCACCGTGGCCAACCTGGAGCAATGCATGAAGCGACTCGAGGCGTGGGCAGATGATGTGAGGGCAGTGTTGGGATGATGAGAGGTCAGGCATAACTGGATGGGCTCATTGGATAGATCACTGGAGCGGCAGCTATGCAGCCTTTTGGTGCAGCTTAGTGATTTTCGCACCACCCCCGCCCCCCCCTCCAATCTTTTCTCACTGCTTCCGAACGGCTTCCTCCGCTTCCAACGTGAGCGCCGCAGAGTCAAGGCCAACGTGAGCCGTGAGTATGGGGAGATGAGATCGGAGCTCAGCCGGGTCAAGGAGATCGCAAGCTGCGACGTTGGGGGGGAGGCGTTTTCTGAGGGGAAACTATTCATGTTAGCAGTTAGAAGTGAACATGTTGTCCTGAAAAAGAATGCCCCCCCATGAAGACGCGCCATGCTTGCCCAGTACCATTCCGGCCCGGAAGATGCGCTCCTTCGATCGTTAGGTCGTTTCAAGAAGTAAGCTGGTGTCTCTCCTCAAACACTAAGGGGTCCAGATGGATCGAGCCAACATGAATCCAAGCTAAGGTGGATCCAGCTGAATCCAGCTTCAGAGGTGTTGGTGATATGTCTTGGGAGGGCAAGAGAGAGGCTTCTGACATTGGAACCTTTTCCTCCATCCATGGGGGAACCGGAATTCTTTTCTCAGGGCTTGCGGAGGTTTGCCGGAACGTTGGCTGGCCGACGGTGGACTTTTCATGGCTCCACCAGCTTAGGGCCGAGGTCGCCGAGGACCATTGTTTTCGAACGGTTTGTTTTCCCACTTCCAGGATTGTTTGAGGGAGGGAAGAGTTAGTGTTCGGAACCAGCTGCGTTTCAGGCTGTACAGTAGATTGCCTCGAGCGGTAGGCTTGTTGACACTTCTGCAGTGTGTCTATGGCGCAGCTAGATCCTGACAGGTACCATTGGATCCATTTGGTGCAATGTGCTCAGGTCTTTTTTGCAGCCGGTGCAGGTTTCTTGTTCATCAATGCTGTGGCAATTAGGTGAGCATTGACAGGTAGACTAATCTGCTGTGAGTGGCCGTGGGTGAACGCTCCAAAACGGTGGTTTATTTGCGGCATTTAATATTGCCCTGTATTACCCGGGCAGAGTTTCTGAATGTGTCCGCCACATTTGATGACAAAGACAGCAGGGTGCCGTGCAGTAAACTAACACATTCAAGCACCACTTGGTGGCTGTTGCAACAGATCTTGGCGTTTTTTCGTCGCACATTTGGCGCTCATCGCTTTCTGCGTCACGGGTTTTCTTTCGCATTCCGTCGAAGACCTGTTTCCACAAACTGCCCGTTGTTCATGAGTAGGAGGACCACCAAGTTGGGGCGTAAGAGTCATCCCTCGACATGTTGTGCCAAATGATGTCGAAATAACGGTCCCGATTTGCTAACAAACTGGGTTCTAGCGCAGGGGCATGCGTTCAGACTAGAGAACAGTAACCTTTCAAGCCAAGACTCATTGACCAGTGCAAGACGTTTCATTGGTGAGAGTTCTTGCTCACTTTTATATGTTTTCTTTCGCACCAACGAACCGTTCAGAGCTTATTGGTTAGTTCTCACAATTTTTCGGGAAACAAAGGGCAGGTGCAATACAGAATCGTTTCAAAAACCTTGTGTGTACTGCTGAAGAAAACATATAGACTCAACAGTACATGTTGGATATTGCAGCTATCCAATTTATTCTTCATTGGCATTCCGTGATTCTTTTGTTCAGGCTGCGGGTGCCAAGTGGTGCTTTCAAACAAGTCCTGGGGGGGGTCAGCATCCAGACGGCGCGACTGGCAGGAGATCGTGACCAATATTTCATCTCAAGTGGAGCGAGAAACACTGGCAATCCAAGAACAAAACACGCAGCAGGCAGCTGGGTTGCTCGTGTCGGAAGACTTAACTTATCCAAGCAGATGATGGTCAGTACGTGTCAGTACAATGGTTTAACGTTTGGCAACAGATTTTGGCTTGAGTATGTTGATCTTTGATCCCCCCCAAAAAAACATGGTCAAGGCGATGCATTTGCTTGGAATTGCGCGTTGGTGGATGCCAAACCCCGTGCGAAGCTTGTGAAACAAGTGAATCCCCATGTACATGAGCGGCCTTTTGTGTTTTAGATGCGTCCATACATGAATTCACATTTCCCGCCGGTGAAGAATGTAGACTCTTGATCAATAAACCCACCCCAATTGGATGCACTCAACCTCTTCCTTTGGGGGAGTTATCAATCAAGAGTCTACATTTACGTTTAGCACCCCTGCTTCCTTCCTCGCAGCGCACGTTTCGTGGCCAGGCGGCCAACGTGGAGGGGCGGCTTCTCGAGGAGTTGGGCCTCGTGCGTTCGGAGGTGGAGAATCGAATTCTCGCTTCTTCGACGCTCGGCGATCGGCGACGAAGTGAACAGCTCGATCGATGCGTCCAAGCAGACACCGTCCGCTTCTGCTTCTTTTGAGTTGGTTGTTTATGGGTTTCGGTGTTTCTGCTGTCGTTCTTGGGAAACTGTTTGTTGGATTTCAATTGTAGCTTGGTGAGACTGCGTCGATAAGAAAGGATACAAAAGGTGGCCATTCATGAGTCATGAGTCATGAGGTGAGGGGTTTCTGTAATTCATGATGTACAAAGTCAGCTTTATTGGGAGGGTGTCGACTGTTTGGCATCAAAGGGCCCTGAGTTGAGTTGAGCTTTCCCTAGCCCCCTGGCCTCAGGAATCAAGTGTCCAGTGCCTTGCGGCAGCTTGAAAACCAGACCATTCAGTGCAATGAAGGCGTGAGAAGGACACATGTGGATCCACCACACGGACATACACGGACTGCATTCTGAAATTGATTGGACAACATGGGGGAAAACCAGAAAACACCCCAAGCCGAAAGCGAAAACAAGTCACCCCCCAAAAGCAACTGCCTTATCTGCGGACCGCGTGGCTGTGAATCAACGGGAGTTCTGGAGCCAAAAGAGCACCGCTTGCGATATTGATGGTTCATGATTGTTCCTGGCCTCATGTTGTGCAAAGTCTCTAAGAACCACAGAATGCAGATAGGGAACGGGGACTTGGCCACTCATTGGCAGGTATTGGCACTATCATAACAGCCGAGCACCAGCTCAAAGCCATTGCGGACGGGATCACTGCAGAAGTTTTGCGACTGCAGCAGCAACTGACCTACTGATATGTCGATCGGATACGTTTTGGAAGATGGACGCTGTTCGCAGTTCGCCTTCAACATTCCAGTTTAGTCACCTGAAATATCCTGAAAGCAACATATTGTTAACTTGGCCATAAGCAGTTGGTTCATATTGGATCAGTAGTTCTCGAGTTCGTATCAATCCTAGGGGTTATGCACACATGTCACATGCGTGTACAGTGTACATGTTGATTTTCTTCAGAGACACAAAAGCAGTCCATCCTTGAAGCCGTGTCAAGTCAGGCAAGATGACAAGCACTACGTGGATTTGGGCCACCTGGCATACCTGGCGACGTGCGGGGTTTGCGGGCTCCATCCATGGGGCAGCCCGGGTGTCCATCCAGGAATCCCACAGGCTCCCCAAGGAGACGAAAGCTGACTCTTGAGGAATCCAGAACTGTAGAGATCTTCGTCGAGGTTTCGGGGCGTTTTTGGATGCTTCGGGGGCGGAAGACGTGTCCGACGGTGCTGGATGCTTGGCCTTGATTGGAGTTCCAGGATCAAAGAACCTTGCCTGATTTCGCTTGCTCGATCTTGAACAATACAACGACATAATAAGTGGAAACTTTGAGGAGCTTTCCAATCACTTCTCCACTTCCAAAGGCACAGAGACACTTCATATACTGTAAAGCTTCCTAGCTTCCTTCGCTACAAGAAAAGCGCGCGTTTTGCAAAAGTGCTCGTTCAAACAAAAAGCGGTACAAACACTCAAAAACGCACATGGATCCCTCTCATAGCGAACTTTTCACATTGCGCTCGTTTTGCGGTAATTCGCACGCTTTTTGCGGCATTTTGCAGTCACCTTTGGCCCAAGAAGACTTCAGTGCTCAACATCTTGGAAACATGCTCGTTTAAAACAATAATAATATGTTCGTGTCATCAAGAAAAACGCTACGGAACTCCAAAAAGTGCTCATTGGCCTTGGTTCGCCAGAAAAAGTGCTACGATTGAAGGTTCAGGTAGACTTGATGAATTGCCTGGAAGAGCACCACCTGGAAGAATCATGCCCATCGTTTTGCGATGTTTTGCGAACCTCAAGCTGACTTGAGTGATTCCAAGGGCAAAACCTGGATGTGAAGATTGCCAACCAAGATGAGCATTTGCTCACGATTTTGCAGCAGAACGATAGCTTCATTACTTTGCCTCAAGATGTATCACGTTTGAGGAGGAAGGCCATGCGTTTGGGACGGATGCATTCATGCGGAATCAAGCGGATAATCATAATTGCTCAGTTTGATGCAACTCCTTTTCAAGCCACTTTTGTCTCAAATGTTACGTGCTTTTGTAAGGGGATGGACATGTGCTCCCTGGGGGTACGAAGTGGCGAAAGCGCCAGTCTTGTGCGATTGGACATTGTGGGCTTAGTCACGAGCAGACTTTGAGACTTCGACTGGTTGTTGTGGAGCATCGAACAGAGCCCGCGGAAAGGGCTTCCATCCCCTGGCGTGCAGGTGAATGAAGACATCCGCTTGGTGCTGGGAGAGATTACCCGTGTTCAGAAAGCTCTCCAGGTGGGTCCGGACTGACCTGAATGCCGCGACGTGAATGGCCGTTGGGGGAGTTGAAGCAAAGCCTCTTGGCCCCAATGTGAGCATGGTGCAGTTTCAATCATGGCACAAAAGAACTTCAACCGATGATTTGTTCGTGGCCACAACGGAAGTAAGTCTTTGTTTTGGACACCGAGTGTCGTTCACACTTCAGGAGGGCATGCGTGCAGCGGGAGTGGTGTCGCAAGTTGGGGACAAACTCGGACGTGGGTGGAACACCATCACTTGCATTGGCTCGACGCAAGGGGTCTGGTGAATCAGTCCTTGGATGCAAGTGCATTGCTTACATGTGTTTTCGTCCTAATTATCCCACAAAAAATTAGTTTCCGCTATAACCCAGTAGGTTTTCAGGTTCTGTGTTAATTGGTCCAAGGCGTTTTCTGGGTCCTTCATTTGCTAAAGAGAAGAGGGACGATGTCGGTGGGTTGAAGTTACTGTGGCTGATGTGGCTGTGTCAAAGCATGCCTTCTGTTCTTCTCCAGTTCGTAGCCCCATGGATTGCGGATGAAGGGCCCGAAAGAAAGAGCAAAACACGAAGGCAGAACGGAGAAGAGAGGAAAACGTGGAAGATTTGAACAGAGAAAAGGTGAGAAAAAAAGAGAAGAAGAGAAAGGCATGCACCATTACTAGCATTACCTATTTTCTCATACACTCCGTGCATCCATGTCACCCTACATCCGTTATGCGTGGAAAAGACCTCCGAGTCGCACCTGTCAACGAAGCGCGATCTGATGGTTTGCTGGAGCACCAGAATCGGCCTGCGGGCATCAAGAAACCTGGACCATCCTAGCGGCACCCAGGCAACCTTTGAACCTTTTGAAGCTCCGCCAGCACCGCATCCTGTTTTTGGGTCACCAAGTTTGGGGCCCCAGCCCACTACTTAGAGTCTTTTTCATTGGACACCCCTTGAAGGTCCAGGCAGATCCCGGCAGTATCCTGTTTTGTTGAGATTGAAAGCCTTTGAACTGGACTTAAAGTAAGCGGGCTGTGTTTCGAAAACCGCCGCCAGTTCTTCCACCTGACCCTTCTTGGAATCGCGTTTCAGAGTTTATGCTGAAGGTAAGGGGAAAGAGATCAATGCGGACATTCATTGTGAGTCGTAGACCAACCTGTTGGAGTGTTTAGAAGCGTTTGAATGGTTTCGCTCAGCCCAAGATTGTTCGTCACAGTCAGCCATAGCCATCATTTGCCATCTACCACCTCCAGATATTCCAACAGACTCTTTCTTGCTCTTGTTGCTGCTTTTGCCCCCCGCACACACGCACATACGCACACGCGCACACACAGACACACACCCGCATGGATGCCTCTGCAGGTCCCTTTTGATACCTCCCAACCCACCCACCCACCCGCATGGTGGATGCTTTTTTTGTTGTTTTTTCGCAGGTCCCTGTTGATACTAGGAACAAGAAGCTACTACAGTAGGGGCTCCTGGCATCGCTACTAGGAGCAAGGACGCTACTAGGGGCTCCTGGCCTTACTATACTAGGAGCAAGAAGCTATAAGGAACAAGAAGCTACTAGCTTCTCCTGGCGGGCCAGGTGGACTACCTGCCGCCCTCGAAGCTTCGCTCCAACAGCCGAAAGCTGAGCGACGGACACCGGCGCTCCCGCGAGGAGATGGCGACCGTCGCGCGGAGCCTCAGTGGGCGGAGAGAGCAGAGCACGGAGCTGAGCAGAGGGGAGACGAGGTCTTTTGGGGCGGGTCCCCCCCCAAAAAAAAAAACACTTTTTTTTTGGTTCTGATGTGTTTTTTTTAATGTTTCTTATTTTTTTGGGGGGTGGTCTAAGAATGTCTAAGATGCCTAGTAGAAAGTCGTTGTTTGGTGCCGATGTAGTGTTCCAGTATCTATTGTCCCTCACACTACAGTCATACTACACCTATCGCGAGCGCATGGGTTTGTAGTTTACAACGTGTCAATTTGGGGGGTGCGTCCCAAACAGATTTGTGCACTTTTGTGCATGAATCATTCAAACAAATTTCAGCTCTCCATCATATTCAATCATAGGGATGGACCAGAGGCCTTGACCCCTCCCACCCCAAAACTCTGTCGCGCGAGTTCGGTCGAAGCAAATCAAAAGCCTGAGGACGCAGGAAACTGCATTTAACATGGAACTTTGGTGGAAAAGGTGTTGTAACAGTTCATTCCACAGGGGTTTGATTTTGGTGTCTATCAATTTCATGTCACGTACATTATTGAGGTCAAAGGAAATGCAAGATCCTGAGGATATACTCACCTCTCAGATCAATAAAGCATATATGACTCCATATGCAAACCACCCTGTGTGCCTATATATATATATGTCGAAACTAGGCACCCTCGTGCCCAACACTAGGAATCCTATCCTAACCCTTCCGGCGCCCTTTTGAACGCTCTGCCTAGAGCCGTAGGTTGCCTATGGATGCGAACCTCAACTGGACATCTATACATGAGACACTGCTTTTTCACTCATCAAAAATTCTTTAAGAAGATTTTCCTCTGAATCTTCTCGGGAGCTCTTCTGCATGCAGATGTCTCAACTTCATGAGGGAACCTCTCAGCGCTTCTCACGCCGTTCCGTGCTTCCCGGAAAACTGGAATTCTCGTCCGAGGTGTGCTGTGCACTTACACTCTCGGCATAGCTGATCGCTGCTAGATAGGCAGCGAAGTCACCGAACTTGCCATCTCTGTCCTTGCCGTGGGATTGAATCCAAAGCAGATAGCTTTGATACCCCTTGTCCTTGACCAACTCATCATAGGTCTTGCCCAACTTGCTCACCTTCGGCAAACGACACACGGTGCTGCCCCAGTCGCTCAAGCTCACGATCCCAGCTGGCAAGCTGACCTTCTTCTTGTCGGGAATGACTGGAACCTGGGATGAAGACACTCCTGCCTCAAGGCGCATCTGGTGCAGGCTTGGATCTGGGTCGGTGTATGTCACCGGTTCCCAGGCTTCCTCTAGAGCCAAGTCCTTCAGGTCTTGGTCTCGCAGCCGCTTGCACCCATCGCTCATGGTGGCATATCCATAATCCGATTCCTTTCTGCTCTTCACTCCAGCTTGCGATGCTCTGGTCAGAATCTCTTGGGCACGGGCCAACTCCTCTGGCGTCACTGGTGACGATTGGGAAGCCATCTCACGGCGGAATGAGGTCGAACGAAATCAACCTCTTGGAAACCTCGAAAGGTCTCTTTGAAGCACTTCTCGAGAGAAAAAGCACTCAGCACGAGGCATCTCAAACGAACACTTGTCCAACACGGCTCGCTTCTGAACTATACATGCAGGCAACGTCTAGACTCTCTAACGAAAGAACAACTGACATGTTTCACATGAGTTGCAACTTAATGGTTCATCTATACATGCACGAAAAACTCTGCTCATTAACCCTCTCTGCAGTGACCCCTACACTCACAGAAAATTCACAATTAAGCAGAAAAATGCATGTCGAAAATTTGCATAGGTGCGGAGGAACAAAATCACCATAAATTCAACTTGCCAGTACTTGACCTGGCTTCTTCTTGTGGGCTTCTGCACGTCGGCTGGCTATTTGCTTTCTTCTCTCCCGTTCTTCCTTTTTGCGATCGAGAACGAGTTGCTCATCAGCCAACTGATACTTTGCAGCTCGAATCACGGACCTCAACAAGTCCATTGGTTCTGCACGGTCCTTGGTCAGACCATCTGCGATCATGTGACCGGTAGGAACCCAACGTGCCTCGAGTCCTGTGCGACAGATTGACTGTCTTATTATGGCAATGTCGATTGCTGTCCGTCGGTCGTCCAACACTCCCCCGGATCCAAGTGAGTTCAAATGGTCAAACAATGATCTGCAGTCTGTCATCCCTATGGGTTTCCGTCTCAGCAACACAGTTTCGGCGTCTTCCAACAGAAATGGTCCGTCCAAACATTCTGCTAGCATCAGTGAAATCCACTCGCACATGCCTGAAGCGGTCGAAAAGGCCTGAGCCTCTCCTCCCATCGTGGAGGAAACCACTCGAGGGAGTCGATATGACTTCCAAGCAAAACAGTGAACCGGGACGTCTGTACCCTGCCTCATACGATCCGATGTGAATCCTACCAACCACCCCCCTTGAGTCTTTAGTTCATCGGTATTAGCGAAAGCTGCGTCCGACCAAAAGCACAAAGTAAGTTCACTAGGTGGGATAAAGGGGACCAGGATCTGGAGGTCAGATTGTTGTTTTGCCCGGCGAACGGCCTGATTTGCCTGCAACAGGTCCTGAACCGTAGGATTTGGAAAACACTGTTGACTCTGTGAGGTCTGTACGGCCAAATCAGGTCGAGTCTGGGTGCTCAACCAACTTAGGGCTCCGTTGACGGCCCGAAGAGCTGACACCTCTTGAGATGTGGCTGGCAACCATGGTTTCTGGCTTCTTTCTTTGTTGATTCGAATCGGCTGAATATGTTCGGCATATTCTTTCTGGGCGAACTTTATCTCGAAGGTTTCACTGTCTTGTTCATACACGGTGCCCAGAAACTCTCCGGTGCCAGATCTCCACTTCCTGAACGGAAAACGCTGTCTGAGCTTTTCGATTGCAGACTCATAGCGACTTCCGGCTCCGCCGGTGATTGTGTCATCCACGTGAGCACCTAACACACCCTGGAGCTTCCCGTCTTCCCCATGACACAAGTACAGACAACTGTCGAACTTGCTACGAGTAAAACCCGATTGGATTGCGACCTTGTCGAACTCACAGTACCATTCGTGTGGGGCATCATTTGCTCCATAGATGTTTCCCAAAACCTGCACTAGTGAACCTGGTGCTACCCCTGGTACACCACCCGGAGGCAGTTCGGCGAAGACCGGATTCAACAATGCTTTGTCCCGGACGTTTGCCTCTAGGAATGCTCCCTTTATATCTCCCAAGTGCATGACCCACCGGTGGCTGACAATCACTTGTAAAATGAGGCTTCGACCGAATTGGGAGAGCGTCGGGGAGTGACACTTCCCTGCCAAGACCTTCTGAAGCAAATCAGGATCATGGTGTCCTCTTAAACACCACCTCGACCTGATTTTGCTATCCCCATCTTCATGTTTCTCAACAATGACGAATCGGCTTGTCATGATGCGATCAGGTCTTCGCTCTCGAATCTTCTTGGCCTCTGATGGTGGAAGGACCTTGATGGCATTCTTTTCGTCTCGAAGAGTGGTCCATTCTGTTGTTTTTGACCTATCGATCTTCTCTTGCAGCATGGGTGGATTGTTCGAGTGATGGAGTTCCTTCTGCAATTTCTTCTGCAAGAAATTTGCTATCAACACTTCTACACATGGAGCTGGACCATTCTCGTGCACTAGCTCGGACAGAAGGCATTCGTCTTCGTCAGTGCGGACGTGCTTGCTGGGAGCACTTGCTTGACCTTCTGGCGAAAGACTCCTTTTGGTGCCATGATTTTCTTCTAGAACTTCCATGAAATCATCCTGTTTCATTTCTGGGGGTCTCAAAAGCACCAATGGTGGACCTTTCTGCTGACGTAGTCGAACTGGACCATACCCTTCCTGTCTAATTGTTTGAGATTGACCATCATCTTCAAGAGGACTCCAACGATGACTACCGCCTTTTGGGGATTCCGGACTGTTCTTGATTTGTTCATTTCCTTCAACCTTTGGGGTCTCTTCAGTGCTTGGCAAGTTCGGGGTCGCCGCTGTGCTCAAACCAGCAGCTGCTTGCTGACTGACTGGGACCGCTGCAGACGTGATCGGCTGCTCCCTTCTGGGTCGAATGCGAAACTGAGATTCGCCTTTCCAGGAACTCTCTCCCCATGACATGTTTTGACATGATGGATTTGACCAGATCTGATGCACTATAGTTTCTTTGGTATCTGACCGAATTGTCCGTCTCCAATTCTCAAGTGAAATGCCTGTTAACACTGGATCATTTGGATCAGGGACAAACATATTGCTTCTTGGTCGTTTGTGGATACGCCTGAGCAAATCACCCTGCTTAAACCAAACATCTTCGGTCTCTTCAGGAGCAGTCGCAAGTTGCATCGGTGTGGGAGTTCCGGTAAGGTCAATGAACTGATTTCCTAACTTGTCTTTGTTCTCTAGCATTTCATTCAGCCCGAGCAGTTCTCGACCGTCCGTCTGTGCTAGCACGCGTTCCTCAGCCGTGACATGACGCAAGTGCTCTGGTGCCACCTTGAACATGTTCTTCCGGTGATAGATTAAGTAGTTCCTACCTACCCTACCCATCACTACCGCAACACCAAACCATCGGCCACCTACTAGTCTCACCCCCTTTTCATACTTCTGAGTCCTCCAGTAGGCTACATAGTCTCCAGGAATGAAATCTCGTTCAACCCTTGGCCGTGCGTTCAGTGCTGTCCTTAGTGTTTTGTCATCTTGGGACATGATCAAGGCTGTTCGTGCTTGTGTCCTGATCAACTGCGATCGTGCTACTGCATCATCCGACAAGGAGGCAGTACCAGAAACAGGACATGGCCATTCTTGCAAGAGGTCATCCGGAACTCGTGGGTTCCGTCCGAACACCAACTGACATGGCGACAAACCGTGTTGGTTCAGCAGTTCATTCTTGGCATTCGTTGTCTGAACAATGCACTGCTCATATTCTTGCCTATTTCTGGGTTGTACCTGGTCTATCACCTTCTGCAGGATCACCTCGAACAAATGTCCATGCTTCTCAACCTTACCTAGCTGTGAGTGTGCTTCTGCAGCACTGGACAGAACGCGAATGCCATCACGTTCAAGCTGTTGAAAAACTGACTCGGCTTGATTCGTGCGAGCAGGATCAGTGATGACCTCAACAGGTGGTCCAGCCCACCGCTGCCAAGCTTCAAGATAAATTGTCTTCAAGACTTCGCTGGTTTCCTTCTCGAAAAATGGAATCATCACTTGAAAGCTGGTCGCAAAATCAACGATGTTCATGCACTTCACCTTCTGATTCACCTGCCAGCCTGGTAGATTTTTTACATCCCAACCAACCCTATGGTTGAACTCCGTGGGTTTCTCAGGACTGGTGGGTAATGCAGGTGTCGGTCTCTGTCGCTGCTTGCAGATATCACACTGTTCTTCTATTTGTTCAGCCAACTTAAGAGCCTGTTCTGACCCTCCTGCATGCTTCAAGATCCTCACAAGGGTTCGTGTCGATGGATGGCCTAGGTTATTGTGCAATTTTCTCAACAGTGTTTGAACCTTCTGTGGATCCTGAACCTCGGCAGCCAGAACCTCTTGAACTGCCCCTTCACTGCTCACTGGCTTGATCGGAGAGTCCTGCACACAAGCAAAAGCACACAGCTGGTCCTGCGGTCTAATGCAACTGTACCATGTCTTTACGAACCTCTTTGTATATTCGGCTGCGAGTGCACTACGGGAATTACCTAGATGAGTGTGTCCTACGATCCCCTGATGCTTATCATGTCCTGGACATTCCATGGCCAGGTGCTTCATGTCGGAATGCGAAACTGCCAATCCCGTTGGCTTCAGCATAGGCAGCTTGTTGTCTGGGTCGACCAGGCCATACGCACACATGTTGGCCTTGTGCACAGTCAGTTTTCCGGCCTGCAACAACTTCTGCATGGGTGGATACTTCCATAGATCGCTAGACCACGGATGCTCTATCAGAACTCGTCCACCTCGCTTCAGCTGTCGCTTGATCTGTGCGACACAGAAATCTGCCTGTTTTTGTGCCACTCGTTGGTTGTGCAACTGCTCAGCCAGGGACAACTTGTGCTTGTTCAGGCGGTACCAACCGCCCCAATGCTTGCACTCTGGACAACAAATCAACAGCTCTGGGGACGACTTTTCGAGCAGCTCGTCCACTTTCGTCTGTGTCTTTGTATCCAATAAATCCCAGCCCTGCTTGATGTCGAAGGACAAACCCTTTTCTCCTCGCGCTTCCGCCAACTCGCTGAAACGCGGAGGTGAGAACATTTCAGCTACGGCACACCCTGTCTTCTTTCCCTTTGTCCAAGCTTCATGATGCGCCAACAAACAACGATGCTCTCTGCATGTCAGGACTCGGTTTGGTCCCTGCATGAACTGTTCCCCATCGTCTGCTTGCGCCGACTGTTGCTCAATGTTGCTGTCTGTCTTGACACCCTGCACTGCACAATGCTCAATGTTGCTGTGGTCATCTGTCTCAACGAACTGTGCTGTACAATGTTCAACACTGCAATGTATCTGCTCTTGGTCTTCTTCCATGGACTCTTCTTCAACCAGCAGGGACTCTGTCCCTTGATCATCCAGCACATTCAGAACGAACTGTCCGGCAGCATTCGTTTGCAGCTGTTGTGGAGGTCCTCCTTGAAGCTCAACCGTCTCTGCAGCAAAATCCAACTTTGCCCCCAAACTCTTGAGGGTGTTCCGAGACAACAGCAATGGCGCCTTGCCTTTGATGACTGCTGCCTCGATCCTTCCGGATTGCCCATGGATGATCACTGGCATCGAGACGACTTTCTCCGACAGCTCCTCCTGACCGTTGCCGAACCGGAACAAGTTCTGCTGTGGTCGACTCTCCGGCACCGACATTCTTCTATCTTGATACAGCCTCATGAAGTCACCCAAGGTCTGCTGGCCTATGAGCGTCCTGCTGCATCCTGAGTCGATGATGCCGAAGCCAGGTGAAGAAACCAATAGCACTTCATCTGTCACCATTGCAGCACCGCTGACCTTTTCCTTGTCTGCACGACCTGTGTAGCCGGAAGTCTGGGCCTGAGGACAACTTCTGGCCCAGTGTCCGATCTGTCCACAGCGTCGACACCTTGATCTCTTCTGGATATCCGTCAGCTCTCTGGAAAATTGCTTCTTCACAGTAGATGCTTGCTTGAACTTTCTTGCTTTCTGCAACTTTGAAATCTCTGTGCGCTTCTCTCGCCACGTGGCGGCGAGCACTTCCGCAATCTCTGACTCATCGTAGACCTCAGTTGAGGTCCCAGAGGAAGCAGCTTCCTGAAACCCGTGATCTGCTAAGAAGGCTTCCACCTCTTCAAATACAACACTGTCGGGCCCTTCCGCCTCAAAAGGCAGCCCTGTCTCCGGTTCATCCTCTGTCTCATCGTGTTGTACCACATAGGCAGAGTTGCCTCTCGTCACACGTCGTCCAGCTTTGAAATCTGGAAAACAGCTTCTCATCGCGGGCATGATGTTCTCCATCTTCAAATCCCCCTGGGTCTTTGCAGTCACGATTCCGCGTTGATCAGCAGAAAGTCCTGAAGCGTTGAGGCATACCCAGCCCCGCGCCTCGGCGGGAAAATCCACCTGAACCTTTCTCCGACACTTAGCGAAGGCCTCCTGAACCCGTGAGCACCATGCCACTGTGGTTTCACCCTCCTGAGCATGTAGCTCGAAAATCTCTTTGAGACATTCGGCCATGTGATCATGAGCCAGTTTGTCAGGGAACCTCTCGTCTAGGCATTGCCAAATGTGTTTGTCTCCATTCTCTTCTCGCATCTTGTCCAACGTCAGATGTTCAACTGTCTCTAGAGCCAGCCCGTCCAACAGACAAAACACGAATGGTCCCCTCTGTGTCGGAGCCATGTCCTTGGTGGCAGCCATTTTGGCTAAAGCCCACAAGCGCCATCGCCTGTACTCTTGAGGGTCCAGCGTGTCTCCACTGAACCTTCTTTGCCCCCCAAAACCATCGGAGGACGAGGCCATGGCACCTACAAAAGACACTGCTTTTCCAGTGCTCAATCCTACCTAGGATCTACACTTCCCCGGATGCCACCTGCCGTTTGCAGGTGGCTCCGCTACCAATGTCGAAACTAGGCACCCTCGTGCCCAACACTAGGAATCCTATCCTAACCCTTCCGGCGCCCTTTTGAACGCTCTGCCTAGAGCCGTAGGTTGCCTATGGATGCGAACCTCAACTGGACATCTATACA